GGCCCAGTTATGGTAGAAAGACTAGACCCAGAGAAACACAAGCAAGGCTTTATCAACATTGTGGTTTTTTTTTTTAAATTTTAAACCAGTATTGCTTAATAGTTTACTTAGGATACATTCCCACCAAGAATTACCATCTAGGTTGTTGTATGCAAATAAAGGATTGAAAGCTGTGGAGAGTGTCCACTCCTGATTGGTCAGTGTAAGTTCCCTTATACAAAATAGGAATTGAAGCTTGCAGAGAATGCCTACAGCTGATTGGTTATTGCCTGAGCTCCATTGTAAGGTAGGTCAACTCGTTGGTAGGCTTTGGCAGGGATGGCATGGGTGAACAAGACTAGTGTGTTTTCAACTCCAGGGCTGTGTGTAAGGCTCCTGTGCAAAACCAAATGGTCTGATTCCTGCAGGGCATGTCGCTGGGTAACAGGAATTCTTTTTAATTTTTTAAATTTTAAAAAAATTTGTCAGTTGTGGGATTTGAATTTAGGACTTGGGTGCTGTTCCTGAGCTTTATTATTTGGCTCAAGGCTAGCACTCTACCACTTTGAGCCACAGCACCACTCCTGTGTTTTGGGGGGTTAATTGGAAGTCAGAGTCATGGCTTTCCCTGCCCCGGCTGGCTTTGAATCAGGATCCTCATATCTCAGGCTCCTGAGTAGCTAAGATTATAGGTATGAGCTACTGGCGCCCAGCCCAGGAATTCTTTTTTAAAAATCTTATTTTTATTTACCAACCCCCTTTAAAAAAAACAGAACAAAAACAAATGGTCTTCACATAGGTCTGGAAGCTGGGATCCTTCTGTCTCTGCTTCTGGAGTGCCGGGATAACAGGCATGCACCACCCTACCTGAGGTGCTAGACTTTCCTCCTGCTTTTAATTGATTGTAGCCCCAGACAGAAGTCAGTGCTTAGCTGGGCGCCAGTGCCTCACGTCTGTAATCCTTGCTACTCAGGAGGCTGAGATCTGAGGATCACAGTTCAAAGCGAGCCTGGGCAGGAAAGTCCGGGAGACTCTTATCTCCAATTAACTACCAGAAAACTAGAAGTGGTGCCATGGCTCAAGTGCCAGAGAGCTCTCCTTGAGCTGAAGAGCTCAGGGACAAGCACCCAGGAACAGAGTTCAAGCCCCATGATGGAACAAAAATAAAAAAAAAAAGAAAGAAGAAAGGAAGGAAGGAAGGAAAGAAAAAGAAAGAAAGAAAGAAAAAAGAAAGGAAGGAAGGAAGAGAGAAAGAGAAAGAGAAAAAGAAAAGCAGGGCAAAGTCCCTGTTAAAGACCTTCCAGGCTGAAGAAGTAAAATCTCAGGGGTACATATCCCCTCCAGCCTGGATGAGGTAAAGTCACCCATGAACTTCTCTTGAGGCAGCGACATTAGTTACTCCCCTCCCCACCCAGTGGGGCTCTGGAAGAGTAAACTGCAAGGTCTTCCCAGGGCCAAACCTAGCTGGACCAAGGCCAGGAAATAAATGCCAGCTACCCTCTGACAAAGCCCCTTTCCCACTCCTTGGGATCGGTGCCTTCAGCCTGCTGTGGAATGCATTCCTCCCCCCACACACTCCTGTCCTCATTGAAACTCCCCTGGGCCAGGAGCGCAGGTGGCTTCCACATCCCAGGCGAGGGAGGAGGGAGGCCAGAGGCCCAGCCTGGCTGGCTTTCCTGAATTAGTGTTGTGAGTACTTAAGACTCTCCAGCTCAGCCATGCCATTATTTTCTGTTCCACGGGAAGCTCTGGGCGGCTCCTTCGGCTCTGAAATCCCCAGCTGTCACTCAAAGCAGATGGCTCTGGCTTCAGAACATGGGAGACACCGCATCATACCAATTATGTCTGTAATAAGAGCAACTACCTTGGTAATCATGACAATGGTGGCCACCTCTTATGAAGTATTTGCTCTGCCCAAGGTGTTTCCAGGGCTTTCCACCTGCAAACTCACAACACTGCCTGGCCCGTAGACCTTGGCGGTCCGTGGGATGTGTCCTGTTTGACAAAGATTATCAAGACAGGCAGAGTCCTGCACTCCTGTGGTCCCAAGTCATTCAGGAGGCGGAAAGTAGGTGGACTGTGAATTCCAGACAGCCTGCACTTCACAGTGAGACCTCTTACTGTGAATAAACAATAAAAGGAAGCAAACAAACACACGTATTTATTTATCCATTGTTTGTTTATCTAGGTAGGTAGTACTGGGGTTTTCACTCTGGGCTTCCTTGGCTGGTCTTGCTCACAAGCCACGCCTCTGCTCCTCTTTGCTTGGTTATTTCTCAGGGCAGGTTTGGTCTATTGCCTAGGCCCAGCCTTGGACCCCAATCTACCTGCATAGCTGGGAGCACACTGATTTTTTTGTTCAGATGAGGTTTTGCTTTTTTTTTTTGGTCTGGGCTGGCCTGAACTTTGATCCTCCTGATCTCTGCCTCCTGAGTAGTTAGGGTTACAGGAGGGTAGCTAGGATCACAGACTTGAACTACTTTCCAGGGTATTAATTTTTTGGGAGGGCAGTCAGTCATGGGGCTTGAACTCATGGTCTGGGTGATGTCCCCCAGCTTTTTGGCTCAAAGCTGGCATTCTACCACTAGCACTTATATTAGCACTCCATTTCCAGTTTTTCTAGTGGCTAATTGGAGATAAGAGTATCACAGATTTTCCTGCTTGGGCTGGCTTTGACCAATCATCTTCAGATCTCAGCCTCTTGAGTAGCTAGGATTACAGGGACCTGGCTAAAAAAGTTTTTCAAAAATATTCACTGGGGCTCATTGGTAAAGTGCTTGCCTTGCATGCATGAGGTCCTGGGTTTGATTCCTCAGTACCACATGCAGAAAAAGCTGGAAGTGATGTTGTGGCTCAAGTGGTAGAGCGCTAGCCTTGAGCTGAAGACTAAGGGACAGCGCCCAGGCCGAGAGTTCAGGTCCCACAAACCAACAACAATAACAAAAAAGTTCATTGGTATATTTAGTTCTTGATCCTCAGGTGGAGAAAAGTTGGGTTAGCTAGTGACCTGGTCTCTGTCTCTTTGTCCTTATTCCATTCCAATACTGTGTCTCTGGATATTGTGCATCACTATGTATCTTCCAGTATTGTGTATCACTGTGTATCTTGTCTTTGTCTTGGTTATCCTGTATCTCTGCTGTTATCTTGATTACTGTGTTCTTCTTAATTGCACTTGTTATTGTAGTTTTTTTAATTGGAGAAAATTTGGCTTAGATGATTAACTATTTATAGGGAAGATCTTAGTTGGATGATTAGATTTTTTTGTTTGTTTTTTCCTCAGTCCTGGGGCTTGAACTCAGAGCCTGGGCACTGTCCCTGAATTTCTTTTGCTCAAGGCTAGCACTCTACTACTTGAGCCACAGCACCACTTCTGGCTTTTTCTGTGTATGTGGTACTGAGGAATCGAACCCAGAGCTTCATGCATGCTAGTCAAGCACTCTACTACCAAGCCACATTCCCAGCCTGATGATTAGCTATTTAAAGGGCAGCTCTTAACCAGGCGACAGTGGCTCACACCTGTAATCCTAGCTACATGGGAAGCTGGGATCTGGGGATTGCAGTTTAAAGCCAGCCAGTGCAAGAAAGCCCATGAGGCTCCTATCTCCAATTAGCCACAGAAAACCAGAAGTGGAGCTGTGGCTCAAGTGGTAAAGCGCTAGCCTTGAGCAAAAGGCGCTCAGGGACAGTGCCCAAGCCCTGAGTTCAAGCTCCAGCACTAGAAAAATAATTTTTTTAAAGTGGGGAGGGCAGATCTTATGTATAAATGTGGAAATGGAGCAATGAAGCTGTGGGAAGTGGAAGGGCTAGCAGGGGTGGTGGTGGTGGTGGTGGTGAATGTGGCTGGGTACATGGTAGTTTGCGCGCATGTGTGGCATGTGGGGACAAAACCTGGGTACAACTCACTGATGCCAGTAGAAATCACGTGTGCAAATACATGGTGTTTGTTCCTCCACAGTGCCATGCATTTGTTTATTAGTCTATATTCCTACAAACTTAGAGGGTGGATGTGAGTTCAAGACCAGCCTGGACTACATAGTGAGACTCCCCATCTTCGACAAAAACAAAACAAAAAAAATAAACAAAGATGCTCCAAGTTTTATGACTTGTTCAAAGTAGGGATTTGCATTAAGCAGACACTGGGATAAGCACCTCACCACTCCGTTTTGGGATCAGGGCAGAGATTAGAGGAAGACACATTGAGCAAGGCAGGTCACAGGAATGATACATGACACAGAGGACGGGGACGTGGTGGGCAGCAGAGTCCAGAACAGAGGCCCTGTGGGGCCATCACAGTAGAGGTCAGAGCACCAGTGATGGTTAGGGAGTATGGGGATTGAGAGGGGGTTTTGGTGGGCTGGCATTGGAGATCGGGGAGGGGATGTCTGGGGCACTGGGGCTTCTGAGATTCTGAGGAGCCAGAGTCACTGTGAGGATTTCCCCTTCTCCCTTCTCTCTCTCCTTCCTTCCTTCCTTCCTTTTTTTCCCTTTGTACTAGGGCTTGAACTCAGGGCCTGCACAATGTCCCTGAGCGTGCGCTCTCTCCCTCCCTCTCATTCTCTCTCTCTCTCTTTCTCTCTCCCTCTCTCTCAATTCTAGTGCTCCTTGAGCCACAGCTCCATTTCTGGCTTGTTTTTATTTTACTGGTTAATTGGATGTGAGAGTCTCATGGATTTTTCTGCCCCAGCTGACTTCAATCCTCAGATCTCCCACCTCCTGAGTAGCTAGGATGACAGGCGTGAGACACCTGTGCCTGGCTTCGATGAAGGGAAGTTGCCAGGATGGAACAAGCGGCTGTGTATCTGGCTTTATGGTGGTTGTGATGGTGCAGAGGGGGACTGGTGTGTTGTCTGGGTTGGGATGCTCTAGCAGGCCGACAATGGGGTGCTCTTGAGACACGAAATGGGGCAGACGGCACGTCGCCTCAGTTTCTACTGAGGCACCCTGGAGAGAAGGGACAGAGAAGGGGTGATCGGACAGGGAGGTGGCATGGCAGAGGGGGTGGGCAGCAAACCAGCCCGCCTTCACTGTGGGCCCTTTGTCCATCTCTGCTTCTGGGGCTGGTGTTTTTGTATCGTCCTGAGGATCCAGTCCACATATTTGGAGACTCGGGTGTAGACGCCGGGTCGGTTGGGCTGCCCGCATGGGAAGTCTCCCCAGGAAATAATGCCATGGAGGGTGTGGTTGCAGACCAGTGGGCCTCCGGAGTCACCCTGGGGTGGAGGGGGGAGAGAGAGAGAGAGAGAGAGAGAGAGAGAGAGAGAATCCTTATTAGGCCAGATGGGGAGATGGGGGATAGAAGTGGGAACACACAGACACATGGAGTCACAGACAGAGAAAGGGGTTTTATGTACACCAGGATCCACCTGTGCCTGAAGCCCCACACCTTGGGACATCCAGTGACAAAAGCAAGCTTTTTGCTGACAGATTAAGCCAGTGTGAGTTGGGTTTCTGTCCCTTGAAGCTCAGCACTGCCCATTCTAAACCATAGCAGCCAGATACTGGAGCGGACTTTCAGTCGAAAGTGGCAGGGGAATTGTGTCTGCAGTGCCCCCTCCCTGGGCTGGAGGCAGATGGGCTCCCTCCAGCCCTGCCCGCCCCCTCAGGCCTCACCTCACAAGAGTCCTTGCCACCCTCCTTGGTGCCGGCGCACAGCATGTTGGCCGTGATCTTCCCTGGGTACACCTGGCGACACTCCTCATCAGAGCGCAGCTCGATGTTGGCACACTGCAGGGTTTTGGGGTAACTCACTGGGGAACAGAGAGAGGGTCTCAGGGAGCCGGTGGGGAGGAGGCTGAGCCCTGAGTTTGTGAGGAGAGTTGGGAACAGATGGATGGGGGGGGGGATGGGGAAGGGCGAGAAGATGGAGGGGGAGGGGAGGACATGGGGAGACAGAGAACTGGAGGTGGGAAGAGGGGAAGGGGTGATGTAGGGGAGAGGAAGAAACTGGAAAGAGTCCAGCAGAGTGAGGGGCAAGAGTTGGCCTGGCGGGGCCTGCTGTTATGATGGATTCTAGAGATCTAGACACAGCGCAGTCAATTATTCATATGTAACCCTATCATGGTGTGTAATCATTTATCCATATTTACACTCTAAGCATTACCAATTATAATGTACAGCTAGAATATGTAAATATACATAATGCATGCAATGTGTGTATTTATAAATGTGTATGCTATAAGTGAGATGTGTAAATAGACAGTATGTGCCAATATGTGTACTTCTGGATTGTAAATACATTTAATAGATAACGGTACTATTTGCAAATACATATTATAACCTGAGTTATATTTAAATTCATAACTTATATAACACATTTAGCGGCCGGGTGCTGATGGCTTACCACTGTAATCCTAGCTACTCCGGAGGCTGAAATCTGAAGATGGCAGTTCAAAGCCAGCCAGGGCAGACAAGCCTGTGAGACCCTAATCTCCAATAAACCACCACCACCAGAACAACAACAACAAAAGCTGCTGTGTCTCAAGTGGTAGAGCGCTAGCCTTGAGTGAAAAAGCTCAGGGACAGGGCCCAGTCCTTGAGTTCAGGACCAGCACAAATACCCACATATTTACTTGATACAATTCTCATACAACATCAAGTATATTCCTATCAATATATTGATATATCATGTATATTAAGTTACATATTTATATTTTATATTCCTAAAGGATTTACATGTACTATATCCTATGTGTTTTATGTATTATAGATAAGATCATGATGGTTCATTTACATGTAAGTAGGAATATATAAAGTTACAATAAGGGCTGGGAAGGTGGCTCAGTGGTAGAGTGCTTGCCTTGCATGCCTGAGGCCCTAGGTTCGATTCCTCAGCACCACATAAGCAAAAAGAAAAAAGCCAGAAGTGGCGCTGTGGCTCAAGTGGTAGAGCACTAGCCTTGAGCTGAAGAGCTGAGGGACAGCACCCAGGCCCAGAGTTCAGGCCCCACGACCGAACCCCCCCCACAAAAAAAAGTTACAATAAAATGTTTACAAATAAATACAAATTTAAATTACACATCGATCATTTGTCAATATATATATAGCATACAATGTTGCTTATTATTTAGTATAATGTCTACTTATTGCTATTCTTTTTCATATATACTTTTAAAATTATCTTTAAGTATTTGTACAAGGGATTTTTGTTATTATATACTATTATATTTTAGATAAATGTATACAGTTATGTGTTTTCACCTCTTTGTCTATGAGGAGCTCCTCCCTCCCACCACTGCCTCAATTTCCCCAGCCACTCTTGCCATCCTCTGGGCTTACCCTGGGGGCTGGTGGTGGTGCCCCAGCCAGACACCCGGCAGCAGGTGCCGACGGGCAGGCAGGGGTCCCGGGACAGCGGCAGGACGCGGACCTGGCCGGTGAGCTGGACAGGGTCCCGGAGCTCCAGGAGCATGATGTCGTGGTCATGGTTCAGGTGGGTGGGGCTGACCTGGTACTCAGGGTGGGGGATGGAACGGACCACCTCCCTCACCTGCTCGCCTCTCTCTGTGCGCCCCAGTGCGTGCTTGCCCAGGTGGACGGTGTACCCCCTGTGGGGACGGCCAGAAGACAGGGCGATCAGGCAGAGTACGTGCAAGTCCCCGTCCACCCGGCCTTCCCCCCATCCCAGCTGCCTCCCCCTCGGCCACCACAATCCCACCCAGGCGTGCCCCAAGCCTCCCCTTAAATCTTGCTGTGCCCCAGGTCCCTCCTCAGCCCCGCCTCCACGGCTCAGGCCCCGCCCATCAGCCCCACCCCACTGCCCAGGCCCCGCCCCCACTCTCTTAGCACCGGCTCCACAGCCCATGCCCGCTCCAAGTCCCTCCTAAGCCCCGCCCCTATGGCCCAGGTCATCATCAGCCCCTCCCCACGGCCCAGGCCCCGCCCCAGGTCCCTCCTTAGCCCCGCCTCCCATACAGGCCCCGCCCCCGGCTCCTCAGCCCCGCCCTCCGGCCCTGCTCCCGCATCCCCCACGTACTCCTTCCGACAGTGTGCTGCAGTGAGGACCCATCGCGCGTGCACCAGGACCCCCCCACAGAGCAGCCGGCCTCGCACCAGCAGGGCAGCCTGCCAGGGCTGCGAGTGGGGCAGACAGGTGTAGCCACCTGGGAGAAAGCCGCTGGTGCCATTGGTGCCATTGAGGATCTTGGGGTAGTCCCGGGAAATGCCTGGGAAGAAGAGAACCGAGAACTGAGGGCCAAGGTGGGAAGGTGGTGAGAGCCCATGGCCGGGGGAGGAGGGGGAGTGCGGCTCTGGGTCCAGGGCTCATGTTGGCCCCTGGGAGCTACCATGTTCTATCCAGTGGACATGGGTCAGGACAAACAATTCATTTTCCTGTGGAAGAGCCAGTCTGTCTGATGGGCACTGAGATGAGGACGATTCTGGGAAGTGGGGGCTCAGCTTTCTCTCCATCTTAACCATTGTGCCATCTCCGATTTCAGGAAGTGGAAGCCAGACTAACCTTTGTTACTACCTAGGCGCCATCCATCCATCCATCCGTCCCTGCATCTCTGCATAACACCCTCCTCCATCCATCCTCCATCTCTCCACTCATCATCCATGCAAGCCTGCATCCATCACCATTCATTCATCCATCATCCGTCCATCCCAACCGTCCATCCCTCCATCCACTCACCCATCCATTTTCCATCCCTGAATCCATCCATGCATCCATTGTCATTCATCCATATCCATCCATCCTCCATCTATCATCCATGTATCATCCCTCTTTCCATCTATCATCCTCCATCCATCCCTGCATCCATCCATCATCCTGTATCTATTGTCCACCATGCATGCATCCATTCATCCACCCATCATCCCTCCATCCACTCATCCATCTACCCATTATCCATTTTCTATCCCTGAATCCATCCATGCATGATATTCATTGATCCATCACCTGTCATCCTTTATCCATCCATCCATCCATCCACACATCTTCATTGTCCATCCATCACCTGTCATCCATCCATCCATCCATCCATCCATCCATCAACATTATCTATCCATCACCCATCTACCCAGTTACCACCCACCCACCATCCCCTACCCACCCCCAATCCACCTATTCATCCACCTACCCATCCATCCATTCATTCCTTCAACACTTATTTACTGGGTGCCTCCATGACCTTAAGTACCCCACAGGGGAAATACTGTGGCTGAACTAGCTGGAGACTCATGTAGTCTACTTGAACTCCTCTTAAACTTTGTATGTCCATCTAGAGTCTTCTCAACCCAGGCTGTCCCTTCTGATCTTTCCCACCACAGTGCTCAGTCCCTAACCTGGGGGGTCACCTTTACTTTCCCTCTTTCCTTTGTCATTCATAACTGACAAGTCCCACTGACTTGATATCCTGACGATCCACTTCTCCCTTGCTCCCAGCACCATCTTGGGCCAGATCCCAAGTGATGATGATGTCAGCATCCTAAATGCGTATATGTTTGCAGTCCTCCAACCAGTCTTCTCTCCCTCCCTCTCTCTCTCCTTCCCTCCCTCCCTCCCTTCCTTTCCCTCTTCCTCCCTCCCTCTCTCTCTCCTTCCCTCCCTCTCTCTCTCCTTCCCTCCTTTTCTCCCTTCCTTCTTTCCTTTCTCTCCATTTTGACGATCAGCTTCCCCAACAAAAGGCACCTTCACTAACCAGAGCTCCATCCTTTAGGCTCAGTCCTGGGCCCAGCACACACTGGGACCTCTGTAAGTGAACTATGGCTGTGCCAGGCCCTGTGTCTGGTAATGGAGGTGCAGCTGTGGGCAGCACAGCATAGAGTCTAGATATGAACATGCTGTTTGTTTTTTTAAATCACACCAACTTATACAAGTTACCCACCTCAGTTTCCCCAGCTGAGGAGTACGGGCGTCCCTCCATGTCTGTGGACCTACGCGGGAGACGCCAGCCACCCCAGGCCCTGAGTGCAGGGGCGCTCCAGGCACTCCATAAACCTCCACACATCCTCCCTTCCAGCTCCAAGCCACTCCTGATGATTTATGAAGCCTCGTAAAATGCAACTGCTTTGTAAACAGTTACCACCGTAGTGCTGAGGGACGGATGCCAAGGGAGCAAAGGCCCAGGCATGCTGACTACTGGCGCAATGTTTTCCACCCCCCGAAGTATTTACCATTGGCAGTTGGTTGATCCCTTGGGTGAGGAAGTGCAGATAGCAGGTGCTCAGGGACAATGGATGGGGGAGGAGGGGCTGAGGGACAGCGGGCAGGGGGTGCTGTGTCAGCACAGGGCCCAGAGACATCCTGAGTTCCAATCCCGCAGCACATGTGGAAACTTCATACTAATTATCAGCTAGGCTGGGAGCCCCTGCGCCCCCTGATCAGTTTCCTGCTCTGGGACGGGACCCCACCTGCCTTAAGAATTAAGGATACGATTCTCAGATCTCAGCCTCCTGAGTAGCTAGTACTACAGGCGTGAGCCACTGTGAGCCAGGTGTCTCACTTTTAAAATCAGAAGACAGACATTAAAAAACAAACAAACAACACTCAGGAGCAAAACACCTGAAATGTGTTAAACTATTTACTAAATATCAGTATCTAAGAGTCCAAAAAAGGGGTGAGAATGTGGCTCAGTGGTTGAGTGCTTGCCTAGCATGCATGAAGCCCTAGGTTCGATTCCTCAGTACCACATACACAGAAAAAGCCAGAAGTCATGCTGTGGCTCAAGTGGTAGAGTACTAGCCTTGAGCTGAAGAGCCGAGGAACAGTGCCCAGGCCCTGAGTTCAAGTCCCATCACCACCACCAACAAAAAAGAGTCCAAAAAAGAGCAAAATATCTATGGTTTCAGATGGTCCAGCCAAACAAGGATTTATTGTTATTATTTTATTTGCCTTCTATTTGTTTTGAGGCTAGAGAGTGAACTCTGTTCAGAACAATGATATAAATATTACTTCTTAATGCTCTTTTGTTTCAGTTGGAAAAAAAGAAGCAGGCATTGGTGGCTTACCCCTATAATCCTACTTACCCTTTTATTTGTAATTTGTTTATAATCTGGTTTACTAACTTTGCCTGGCTGGCCTGGAACTCCCCATCCTCCCCACCTTCCTGCTTCCTCCTCTAAAGCGGCTGGGATTACAGGTGTGTACTACCACGCCTGTCTTTGAGCCGACTTTAAGAAAGCTCATTAGGGCCAGAAGCCATGAAGATGGCTTCAGGGTCTTCGAGCCTGGGACGAGATGGTTAGGGCGGGCGGCTTGGATTAGGATCCTGACTCAGGCCTCTCAGTGTCCTTCTGTCTCCAAGTCTCAGGAATCCAGGCATGAAATGGGTGTAATTATAAAGCACCTACCTCACTGGGCTGTTTAGGATTCTACAAGACACAGCATGTGGGCTCAAGGGCCAGGGTGCAGCAGCAGGAGAGAGAGGGAGGAAATCCTGGGAGTGCAGCTGCCCCGCCTCTTGCCAAGGACAGCACCCAGTGCCAGGCTCGGCTTGGGGTTGGGGGGGTGGCACTCTGACCCTCCTCCTCCAGAGCTGCCTGTGGAGCAAAGCCTTTGGGAGGTCCTGCGGGACCCTGGGTGCTATCTCTAGCCTCGCCCTCCCCCCTCCTCAAACCTTCACCTCACCTCCCCAATTAATTATTAGCTAATTATTAGAGTAATTGCTTGAATAATGTCTGCATCCCTGCCAGCTAGGCTGTGGGCGCCGCAGGCAGCCATGATGGTGTAGCTCTGTGGGGTCAAGGTAGCTGCCGGACGAAGCCCAGTGGTTTGATAGCTGCTTACAGAATGAAGGAATGAGTGAGGGAGGGAGAGAATGAATGATGCGAGCCTCCATGGAGCTGCCAGAGGCTTTGCCTGCAAAGTCAGGGAAGGGTGTTTCAGATATGAAGCAAGGCCTCTTTGGAGGGCAAATTTTGGGTGGAGTCACCCCAAGGATTCAGTCTAGAATAAACTAGGAGGTTCTGGAAGGAACTGAGAATGGAGAATGGGACAGATTAGGTCTTCTCCCCGCACCCCCCCTCTATTTTCCTAGGCTTGGGTGAGAGCGTGAGAGGATCCCATCTCACAGAAGAAACCACCCACGTGCAAACCCTGTGACTGGCTCAACAACTACAGTGTCAGCAGCATTTGAACCCCTGACTTCCTGGCTGTGTGTGGGGGGGCGCCCTGGGACTTGGCATGCTGCCCTGGGGACCCCCTGGGAGCTGGCTTACCCTGGAGGTCAGAGGTGGAGGAAGTGGGGGGAGCATTGGGGCCACCCCAGCTGGCAAGCAGGTCAGGCAGGGTCAGGCCACGGTGTGGGGGTGGGAGGGGCGGGGCTAGGGCCCCACACTCCCTCCCCTGTCCCCAGCTGCCACGGGCCCGCCTGCACCCCCATACTCACCCCCTGACAGCGCCAGGGTCAGGCAGGCCATGATGGCGGCCAGGGACCACATGGTGACTCTGGGATGTGCGGGGCCTGGGGAGAGGTTGAGGGGTGCAGTGAGGGGGGTCCCCCGGGCCTGCATCTCTCCCCCACCCCGCATCTGAAGCTCTCTGCACTTGAGCTTCTACCCTTGAACTTCATTCATTCCTGCAACCCGCCCATCCCCCACCTGCAGCCATGGTGGGGAAGGGGGCCCTGCACCGGGGCCACCTGTGCCCTTGCCCCACGCCTCCCCCTCCTCTCCATCCCTAACCACAGCCCCCCTGGGGGGGTGCCCACCCCACCCTGTCCTGAGGGTCTTTTCTCTGACAACCTCCTCGCACCTGCGCCTATGTCCCCCGCATTCTGCCACCTCACAGGCCTAGCTGTCCTCCGAGACCTGCGATGTCCCCCCCTCCTCTCCCCCCTCCCCACCCCACCCCCCACAGCCCTACCTGAGTGAGGGCCCCGGGAGAGCTCAGCGCCAGCTGCTTTGAACTTCAGCCCTGGCCCATGGCTTTTAACCCCTGCACTCCCTCCCCCTGCATCAGTTTCCCGGTGCTGGCTCCCCCTCTCCACCCCCCCGACGGCTCCCAGCACCCCCAGTCTGGGCTGGTCCCCGGCGGGGGGGCGGGGCCCGGAGGACAGGCTGGGACCCGGGCCTGGGCCCGCCCACACGGGGTGAACCCACTGTGAACTTCCCGCAGGCCCAGGGCCAAGGGGGAGCCCCCTTCCTGCCCCGGAGTGGGGACCCCAGCCCCCCATCTAGCGCTGCACCTGCATCTCCATCCCAGAACCTAACCCCTGAGGTCCTCTTCCACACACCTCACCAGCCCCGCGCCCCATTCCCACTCATCACCTCCAGCCAGCCCCTTCTCACCCGAAATTTAGAGATGCCAACTGTGTTCCATCACCCCCTCTCCCAAGGACAGGAGCCAGCGGCTGGGCACGAGGCACGGGAGGCTGGACAGACAGGTGCAGGTGCCGGAGCTGCCCTTACACCCCGATCCAGCCCGGGGAGCAATGTGGGGTCAGTATGCCTTTAGGGGCAGATCCTCAGGGTGAAGGAGTCCAGGAAGGAAGGTGGGGAGGGAGCGGGTTCTGGGGGCTGGGGGGGGGGCGAGGAAGGAGGAAGAGGTGGTGGTTGGGGATCGTGGGCGTCTTCTGGAACTGAGGCCGGGCGGGGCCCATACATTAAGCCCAGGGGGTGGAGGGGCAGGGTTAGGGATTAGGAGGACAGAGGTGGGGTCAGAATTTGGAAAGAAGCCAAGGCTGGAAAGAGACACCTGGCAGTCGGTGTCATCAATGAGACGCTACAGGGTACAGGCAGTGGGGTTCGGGCAATGGGCTGGGGATCGCGTGCACCCTGGTGTCTCTCCGTATTCTGGGAGTTTAGAACCTAGTGCTCAGAGAGACTTTTGAAACAACCGGTGGAACTACGAGTCTCCGGACATCTACCAAACGAAGCTGTCACAGTTGATCAGCCGGGCACGGAAGGGGATTTATAGACTATCTTAGAGGGGGCGAACTTGTGCAACACTTTGTTCAAATTATATCATGTGCATCTCTGGAATTGTCACAACAAAAGCTCCTTTGTGCTATTCATGTGTGCTAAAAAAAAAATGGGGGGGGGGAGATGTTAGCTTTGGGTGGTAGAGGTAGAAGGATCCAGAATTCGAGGCCAGCCTGGGCCACACAGCAAGACTGTTGTCTGGGGCAGGGGGGAGGGAGGATGTTGTTTCTCTTGACTTATTACTAAGCGCCATAGTGCCACTAAGATCTGATGGAGAAGCACACACAGGTGTAAAAGTGCTTTATTCCATGCAGCGCTGTGTGGGTGTCAGCGGCAGTTAATTGTATTTCCACCTGACAAAATTCATTTTCCTGGCTTTGGATAAGAATAATTTGTAGTGCTATCAACCATCCACCCTTTAAAATGGTCTCGTTGCTCCATGACAGTGAAACATGCCGCAAAATCTGAAGAGCTGTTCTACTATTTTCTTTTCTTTTCTTTTCCCTGAAGACAATCTATTTCAAAGTCTTTCAACGGGAAAAGGAATTCTGTTTTAATACGGGATTTGAGGCAGGCGCTGGTGGCTCACACCTGCAGTACCAGCTAACTCAGGAGGCTGAGATCCAATGATCATGACTCAAAGCCAAGTCCCTGAGTTCAAGCCCAGGACAGGCACGTTACCCCTCCCCCTTTGCCCTGCCCCCCCCCAGCATCGGAAGAGGATTTGTGGTCAGCGTTCTGAGGCTTTGAGGGTGATGGGGTGGGCGTGGGGTGGGGGCTGGGGGCTGGCACGGCTGTGGGGGTCCCATGTGAAGGTGACAGAAAAGTTCCTGGGAGTCGCCTCCCTTCGCTCCCTCCGCCTTCCAGGGCCGGATTCTGAGTGGGCGCCCAGTTCATTCCTGCTGAGCGGAGCTGGGTTCAGGTGGGGTGAAGAGGGAGGCTGCCGGGTGACTCGAGGTGACAGGCTTGCGTGGGCAGTTTGGGGTACCTGTGCCCTTTCGTGGCCCTGGCTCCGATGCTTCCAGAAAAGCTTTCTGGTCTGGGGAGAGTCCGGAGGCCCCGGCATGGAGGTGGCTGGTTTTGGCATTTGCTGAGGGGTGAGCGCCAGGTCAGCGTGGAGGTGAGGATGCTGGGTGTCTGTCGAGGTCACGGACCCACCGAGGGCTGGGCACCTCCACCCCCTCACCTGATTATCAAGACAACAGGAGCCCACAGCTGGAAGTCACACCGGGGCTGGCCTGGATCCAGACACCATCTCTCACACGTCCCCGTCCCGCCTCTCTCTCCCCTGTGCAGGGCAGGCCCAGAGAAAGGTAGACTAGGATCAGAAAAAGAGATGGGGTTCCCGGTGGCTCAGCCTGTGGATGTGGAGGACGTGAGATCCCAGGGGGATGGCTGCCCCGTACCTCAGTTTCCCCATAGGTCAAGGGCACAGCACACACGTTTCATTAAATGAGCTATTATTATCTTCTGGACAGTAGGAGATGCCCCGGTGAGGACTGAGCACCCCCCCCACCCCCAGTCTACTGAGTAAAGAAACAAAGGCAAAGATGGAGGCCGGCCAAGCTTCCCAGAAGAGGCCTCACCCTAGCTTGGCTTCAACATGGGATTCTTTGTCAAGCAGAAACTGGAAGTTCTGGTTGGAATTGCCGGTTGGGTGGAGAAAGTCAAGCTCCCCACCCAGGCCTGGAGGAGGAGCTCCCCCCCCCACTCCCCTGCACACGCACGCGCAAAGGGAGGGAAGAAGACACAGAGAGGGATGGACAGGGTGGACGGCAGGGAGCCCAGCACACAGATACCCGAGTCCTGGACGGCGGGACATCCAGGGAGACACGGCTCTTGGAGAGACGGATGGATTCTTTCCTAGAGTGGGGTTGGCATTCCTTAGGGTTCTGGTCCCCAACTTCTCATCCATGCACGGCACCATCAGGGTAGCAGGGGTTAGATGGTCTGCCTCGCCCACTCCCATTCCCACTCCTGGTCCTGTGCTCTCACCCACTCACAGCCTCTTGAGGGCGCTGTTCTAGCTCACAGTTACCTGTCTTACAAGTAGCAAGTTGTGTGTGTGTGTGTGTGTGTGTGTGTGTGTGTGTGTGAGAGAGAGAGAGAGAGAGAGAGAGAGAGAGAGAGAGAGAGAGAGCGCCAGTGCCAGGGCTTGAACTCAGGGCCTGGGCACTGTCCTGGAGTTTTTCCTCTTCCTCTCAAGGCTTAGTGCTCTTCCACTTGAGCTACCGTTCCACTTCCAGCCTTTTGGTGGTACATTGGTGGGACTTTCCTAGCTGAGCTGGATTTGAACTGAGATCCTCACATCTCAACCTCTGGAATCATTGGGGTTACAGGCCCGAGCCGTGGTGCTCAACTGCCAGTATCAGTTTTTTGTTTTGTTTTTTAAACCAGTCTCATGAATACCCATACATGCTGTGATTTCCCCGTATCTCCATAACAGAGCGAGGTTTGTGTATGTGCCAGTACTTGAACTTGAACTCACTCACTAGCTGCTCCTCCTCTGGGCAGGGCACCAGCCTCTCCTGTTCTTCCTGGTGTCTCCACGGGTTCCGTGCTTGGATTGGTGTGATCTCATCTCGTCTTCCAGCGTTACCTGCCATCCTCATGCCGCCAACCCCCCAATTTAACGTCTCTGCCAGCCAAACCTTGCTCTTGGACTTTTGGCTTCACCTCCAGCCGCCCAGTCTATATCTCCATGTTCAAAATTAAACTCCACAGCTCTTATGTTAGCCACACACCTCTCTCCAGACCCTGGTTCGCTCTAGTAGGGGTTCACACCATCTTTTCATTACTGGACTACAACTTTGGTCTCCCTTGAATTCCTTTGCACATATCACACATCCAACTTGTGTGTCTGTGTGCATGCATGCACCAGTTCCGAGACTTTGAACTCAGAGCCTGGGCGCTGTCCCTGAGCTTTTTTTCCTTCAATGCTGGTGCTTTTCCATTTGAGCTGCAGCTCCACTTCCAGCTTTTTAGTGACTATTGGAGGTACAATTCTCAAACTGCCTAGCCCAGGCTGCCTTTATTACTCAATCTTCAGATCTCAGCCTCCTGAGTAGCTAGGATTTTAGGCGTGAGTCACCAGTGCCTGGCTAAGAGAATGGCTTTGTTGGAACTTGAACTCAAGTGTGATTAAGTCACACTTTCCTGAGGCCTGACAAGGTCAGGGCAGCCTGTGTCCAGTCGTTCTTGTCTAGAAGCAGGAAGCTCAAGAAAGGAGAGTCCTGCCCCGGGCACCGGGCTTGGCTTTGCCCCTAAATCTCTGAGCTGTGTGGCTGGTGGCAGAACAGAGCCAGGGGAGCAGCTCAGCCTCACACCACTGAGCCACCTGTTGGGACACACGCGCCACCATGGATGTGTCCTTAACAAACCGAATCAAGAGATGGGTGAAACATGAGATGACTCCCTTTTTGGTATCCTTTATTTTGATTTGAGACACATTGAGGGTTTTGTAAATTGTCTTCTTTGGAGCATTTGTGTGACTGCTTCAGAGCCTGGAGGGGGCCCTT